TTTTATATTATGGTACCCAGCACTGCACACAGTGTTCAAGGTGAAGCCGCCCCACTGCAGAGCAGGGACAAACCCCTCCCTTGCCTGGATGTGCCCGATGCATCCCAGGTTTGCACAAAAAAAAAAACGACTGCTGATGGATCAAGTCTTAGTGCTTGCCTCTGCATAAAACAAGAGGTAGCCTTCTCTGAGTTAAAGTAAAATCATTTATTTGAGAAATAAGTTCTGCACACTTCCCCTTTACAAGTAAAATAGAGCAAGCAATAAAAAATACTAGTGAACACACCATTTTGCCTCAAGTTTTGATTCAAAAAATCTTCCTTCTCACAGGCATGCTGTAAAAATAAACGCACGATTTCTGTAGAGTTCACCAGCTATAGGGATCAATGCTGAGAAAACCCTGTAGGAAACTAGCCTTTTGGGTTAGCAGGAAGCATATTACAAAAGTAAACCAAAAGTGGTCATAAACTGAATGGTGAGAATAAAATTAAATGCTGGTCAACTGTTTCCCTATTTCTAGATGGTTCCCTCTGCTCAGCTAGCAAGTCTCAGCTAGAAACTGTCTCAGAAAACCTCAATGACCTTGTAGCATCCACATAAAGGACCTAATGCCCCCAATGGGCTCCAGTTTCTGTCTTCCACAGACATCCATAAGCCCAGAAGCAGCCAAATCAAAATGGCACAAAAATCCAGTGCTTCCTGTGCCAACATCCAAGCAACAGCACGCTACAGAGACCTAACTTGTTTGGCAGCTGGGCTATAGCCTAGGACCCAGCAGGCAGAGGTGGTGGGTTTCTGATATGAAACTACCCCTCCTGCCATCTCAAGTGGGATGTGGATATCAATTATCATACATACATTTATAAAGATTTTGGGGAAGTCTGTAACAAAGACATGAAGGGTACATATACAGAATATCCACCTGTAAAACACTGGTAAGGAGATGTTTTCCAGACAGAATACTGTCACAGTGAAATGGTTTATTTTATGCTAGAATAGCAACCCACAAACAATCCTCATGAAAACAAAGCAGGATTCCAAAATACTTTTGAAACTTGTCTAAATTTTTTTCCAGGTTATGAAATGACTTTACTTCCCTGGCTTTCAGCCATTATCTGTACCAAGCCCATTTGCATAGGTTTATCCAATTTTTCAGCCATTATCCCATAAAACCTTTATCTTTGCATTTTGCAATTACAGTTTGTTCCAAAAGCTAGGGACAGTCTGCATAAAATTAAACTGAGACACTTTTCTCATATCATATCCTAGCCAGCCTACAGTATTCAGGAAACTGAAATAAAACATCCTTAGCACAATGACCAATTTGTTCACTAGTCATTTTGTGGGGGTACTGGTAAAAGCCATTCCTGAATGCTAGAATATTTTCATTAGTGCAATATTTCTGTAAAACCTAATACTGCCTCTCTATGTGTGAATTTTTAGGGTAAGTTCATTTTTTATAACAATATCCACTTGCAAAAGAAAAATATTTAGAAGTTTTCAGCCACTATTAAAACTTCTAAGTACCAGACTTAATTTTAAAGAGCTGCTTTTTAAAATCCTGATATAATACAAGGCAAACTCACATTCAAGACAAACTGTTGGATCCCTACAAAAAAAAGCCCACAATGTTTAGAAAAAGCACAGTGCTTTAAGTGCTAGAATTTGACAAGTAGCAGAAACACCAGCAAGAATACAAAACAAGACTCAGGAAGTCAAATTCAACTTCAAACTGAATTGCAATTAATTTAATTGGATAAATACTTAAAAGAAGAACCTATGCACATCAGGCAGCTGACAACAAACATCACGGTACAGCTGAGCATAAAAGGGAGAGACTCTGGAGAAGATAATGACCATTTAGTGACTGCCCAGTTTATACACAGTGTGCAACTTCCCTTTTGGATTATCTGTGATTAAGGGAACCAGTTCTTACATTTCCTAGGCACCTGTTACAGCCATTACTTGTTTTCAAGCCTGATGTCACACATTCCTCAAAGTTAGCATCAGGGCACCAAAGTATTGTCAAGTTTAAGGGGTGGGAGGACCCGGAGGTGACACTGCTTCACACGGAAGAAACATCCCACACAAGAGCTCACACGCTGCTATGCGGGCAGCCCAAATACACATCCCTGCTTGGCACCTTTGTCCTACTAAAAATGACACAGCACCTTGTAAACTGGCATTGTGCCATTCTGACAGATGGACTTAAGTGTAGGCAGCCAAGAGACTATGTATAAGCATCAAATATGTTTTTTGAGAGGAGGACCTCCAGCCAGGAATGTTAAAACAGCTGTCCACATTGAGCTTGCATGCCTACACTTAAGAGGATATGCTACTGCCACTTGAGCCCTGAGCTGGATTAACTTGGAAAAAAAATAAGATAGCTTCCACAGCCACATAAGGTGAGTTTTTGCAGAATCAGGATTAGTGATACTCAAGGGGGGCTTTACTGACCTACTATTAGTGGGCACACTTGCACAGTCAAAAGCTCATCAATTGTGAAGCTCAGGGAACCTTTTATCACTTGCACACTTATATATATTTATTTTCCTTTGGAAGAAAAACATAGGATGCAATACCACCATGATTATGAACAAACATGTTAGTGACCTTCCATCCTATGTTAGAGGATACTTTTTTATGAATTAGCTGTCCTCACTCAAACACAAGTATCTGTGTGACTAGGACATGTTTCCCCAGGCTTTCATGTCTGCTTAAAACCTCAACTGCCATGGCCTGCTCCAAGACGTTTTGTTAGCTCATGCCTACACACAGACATACAATTTACATTTTGACATCACTTGCATAGTTTTCCCCAGTAACAGAAACACACCACCTAGAGAACCAGGCATTGCATAACACAGGATGTAAGGTGGCAGGCCTGCAGAGCCATGCCCAGGCCACTTCTATCCTATCCCTGCACCTGGCTGGGCTGTCTGCTGCCTCTCCTCAAGGACATGCAACATTCCAAATACCATTGAGAAGATCCAACAAAAACATGTTTGCTCACATCAACGTGCCAAGCAGTGCTCTTTCTCCCGCAAAAACTCAAATTTTACTCCTGCCCCTCAAAAAGGCACTGGTCTATATCTGAAGTGAGGCAAATATTTTAACATTAACAAGTTAAATGCTTCCTCAGAACCCCACACTATTTAAAAAAGATAATACCAAGATTTCCAACAGCAGACAACATTGCTTCTAGCCCTCAGTGGCTTCAAGACTGAATGGAGGTGATAGTACATTTTATTCCATATTTAAACACACTCTGTGTTCATTTTAATTCTTCCTGTGGTCACAATCAAATCATAGGCATAAATTTTTCACATACACTGTAGCTGGGTGTATGTATCTTTGTTCTCTTGAATCACTAAAAATGAACTTCAACTCTACAAGGGTCCTCCCAGTATAGATCAAAGCTGCCTTAAGTGCCTTAAGTGTCTGGCAGGCAGAGTCACATGGAGTCTACTCAGCTGCCAGTGCCTTTTACCTTTGTTAACTTCACTGCAATTAAAATTACCTGAGTCATTTCATTACTATTTCCTGTGCTAGAAGCACATCAGTGGTAGGCATAATTTTTCCTGCACAGTGAGGATTTCCCCCCATTGACCTTGCCTTCCCCTTTGCTGAAGAAAGATTTCTACCTCTCTCACCGTTCACCTCTTTTACCCTTCATTCCTCATCTACAGCATTTCCTTGTCTTTTTCTGTTTTTGAGGACTGTGTGAGATCACCTACTTGCAAAAGTTCCAAAGCACAATTTAGCAACCTCAGTAACGAGATGCTTTGTTTTTTCATGCTGCCAATAAAGTCAATGCTAGGTTAATCTTCATTTCCATACCACTTAACCTTTCTCAGACAGGAGAAGAGAGGGAAAAAACACTTTGTCAAATACTTCATCATGCAGATTTGCAGTGCAGTGAATACCTCTCCCTCCTTCCAAAAACCTGCAGTGCCCCAGGCTTTTTCAAGACACTGCACGCAGACTCTGCATGGCTTTAAAACGGTTCAGGGAACAGTCATATTGCCAAGAACAGGTCAAAAGGAATGAAAACATTGATCCAGATGACCACTTTTGCTCAGTAAAGTAGTTACACACACACTCCACAAGTGTATAACTTCCATAATGTGTGTTTTACACGCAATTATTATCTCCGTGGCTATTGTAAAGCCAAATAAAATTGAACTGCAGATGGTAATGCTAAGTATCCAAAACCCCTTCACAGCTCTCTCAGCCCCCTAAGTGCCTCTGCTTATGTGAAAAGAATCTAAAGGGGTACATGAGGTTCATTTCTTACAGAAGCATGTAAGGCGCTAATGCAAAGCCAGGGGACAGTTAACCTTCTTGCACATTACACGAAATATCACGACCAAACTCCAATGAAGTTTAGTACCCAGTTATCTGAGATGCCCCTTCTTCCCACCGTCGCACAACTATCAAGAAGACTTGTCCGTAGCTGCTGAAAAATGTATGCCAAATTGGACTCTCATTTTGTTGTGCACCTTGAACTGCCATAACCCAAATCAACTCTGAAGGTTTCACATGCTGATTTATCAATGGGTTTTTAACTCTGAGATGCCTGATGATGTATCAATGCCAGTCAAAATTCATTACTAGTTCAAGGCCAATGATAGAAAAGTAAAACAAAGCATGCCAAAATTCTCTTGAAGTGCTTATTAAGCATTAACATTATAGAGGCTTTAGGCTAAAGGTACAGCAACCAGAACAACTTTCTCTGCTGCTCTATTACGCGTGCAAGAGGGTGTGTGTGAGTACAACTGCTTTAAGCCACGCTGCGTTAGCTTCACGCGTTACTACTGTTCACCATATCACAAAACATTTTAAAACAGGAGAATGGCAGTTCTACTTCAAAAGGTCATTTGAAAAGGAAAACTTAGCACAGATGTTGTTCAGCCGGACTAAGGCAGAAGTACCTGTAACTGGCCCCTCTGAGAGACCTGGGGTTTATCAAAGTACCCAGGTACTTTAAGTTGCCTTACCTAGGTAAAGCGAGGCGTTTTCTTTCTTGACATTGTCATCTAAGTAGGTTGGTCCCAAGGTATAGATGGGTGTCGAGCCCATGCCAATGAGGATTTGGGCACAAATGAATAAAGCTACATAGAGAGAGTGGTCTTTTCCACCGGTGTCCTTGAAGCAGGCCGACGAGTCCCACTGCTCTTTGGCAGTGCCATTGCCAGCCACGCACAAGCCCTCGTTACTGACGGAGGAGTTCAGTTCCTGGATCTGGTACGGCGGAGAGATGAAGTGAGGTAAGGAGAAGAGCGCAGCGCCCAGGGCGATGAAAAGCCCCCCTACGGCCAGCCAGAGCGGCCTCCGCCCGCGACCCCCGAAGTAGCTGATGAAGACCACCACCACCAGGCTCCCGATGTCGAAGCAGCTGACCAGCAGCCCCGACTCCGAGCTCTTGAGGCTGTATCTCCGCTCGATGGTGGTGATGACGCTGCTCAAGTAGCCGGAGACCATGAGGGACTGGATGAAGGTCAGGAAGCACATGCACACCAGGAAGAAGCGCGAGTCCGCCAGCACTGCCCGCAGGCACGCTCTGCCCGGGGGTCCCGCCAGCAGCAGCGCCGGCGGCGGCGGCGGCAGCAGGAGCGGGGGGCCCAGGGATACCCCTCGGCCGGACGCCGCCGGCTGGCCGCCCTCCGTCTTCCAGGGGAAGCTGCCGCTGGCGGCGGCGGGGGGCCGGGCAGCCTCGGCGGCGGCAGAGGCGCCCTCGCCCCGCTCGGCCTCGGGAGCCGGTCCCGCGGCGGGGCTCGGCCGGCCGCCGCGCCCCCCGGCCGCCAGGGGGGAGCCGAGCGCGGGCAGACTGCGGCACCGCGGCGCCTCCGCCCGGCCCCCCGCCGCCGCCGGCCGCTCCGCCTCGGGGAGCCGCTGCTCCGGGGTCCCCGCCGAGGCCATGCTGGGTCCGGCAGCGTGCTCAGAGGAGCCCGGCCGGCTCCATCGCTGCCGTGCGTCGAGCGCGCTGAGGGGCCCGGCGAGAGCGCAGCATAGCGAGGAGGGGAGGAGGGAGGGGAGGGGGGTGGCCCTAGCCGCGGCCGCCGGCCGCCCCGCCGCACGTGTCAGCCAAACTCCTTTGTGGCTCCATCCACCCTCAGTCTCGCTCGAGGGGCCGCCCGCCCGCCGGGGCGCCCGCGCTGCCGGCGGCTCCCGCTGCCCGTCGCCGCATGCCCGCGGCGCCGCGATCAGCAGCCGCCCGCCGGGGCTCCGCGGACAGCCTGCCCGCCGCGGGGCAGCGCCGCCCGCTCCGCCGCCCTCATCCTCCTCTGTCCTCGCCGCCGACGCCGGTGACGGAGCTCCGGGGGGTTGCTGCCGATCTGCGGGGCGGAGAGCAAGCACGGGAGGTCAGCGGCGCCGGCCCCTGCGGCCCCGTCCCTCCCCGCCCGACCCCGAGGTGTGCTCTGAGCTCCGGGGAGTGCCTCTGTCCCCGTCCCCGCGGGGGCTGGACCACGGCAGCGCCTCGGGGACCGCGCGTCCTTGGGGACGGCACATGGATTTACATAAGAGCTGGGGCGGCCTCGGCCAGAGCGCGACCCTTTTATTTGGCGCCGGATGCGACAGCCAAAGGTCGCCGTGCCAAGCCTTTTATTTTCCAGCCTAAAAATAAATGCACTGAAATAAATACTCCGCTACAACTCGGCGGCCCAGGGAGCGGCGGCAGGCGGAGGGAAGGGGAACAAAGCAGGAGCCGGGCAGCGGCGGCGGGCACCCCGGGACCCAGCAACCCGGGGCCGACCCCGCCGCCCCAGCTCGCTCGGGTGCCCCCGGGACCGCCCGGTGCAGAGCGGTGCCCAGACATCCCTACCCCGGCAGCGGAACACGCCTTTTGCCTCCTTTGTCCGCTTTCGTCTCCCCGCCGCCTCCCGCTCGCTGCGGCCCCGCGGAGGGGTGGGCGGGGGAGGAACGGCACCCGGGCAACCGCGCCCCGGCAGCGGATCTCCCCCGCCCCCAGAGGGCGGCCAGCGGGCAGGGCGGCGGAGCCGGCGGGCGCACCGGGCTGTCCCCCCGGCCGCTGCGAAGGAAAACGACGGGGCTACTCACCGAGCGTGCGGCGCCGGGGGCGGCCGGCCCGGGCCCTGCGCCCCCGCCCCGCCTGTCACCCTACGCCGGGTCCCCCTCGGCCGCCTCCGCCTCCCCTGGCGCCGGAGCGCAGGCGCGCCCGCAGCCGCCGCCGGGCCGGGCGATGCCGCCGGGCGCTCCGTGCCCTCCGAGCTGCCCTGCCGGCCCGCGGCTACCCGGCTACACCCCGCCAGAGGGGCCGGAGCCCCCGCGGGACGGGGAGCGCGGCGGCGGGGCACGCCTTGGGGTCTGCCCGGTCGGTGCCCTTGCTCACCCACGGAGCTGCTGAGGGCTGCGACTCGGCGCTCGTGGCTGAGAAAGTCCGCGGAGCGCCACGGTTGGCAGCCGGCAGCCCCGGGCGGCGTTTAGGATGCTTAGGATGGAGTTGCATCGTCTTGTGTAAAAGGTGGAAATATTCGGAAGACAGAACCGAATCGTCTGCTAAAAAGTGAGAAGAACCAAGGAATGATTTTTGAAATTTTTATTTTAAGGAAAATAGATCACCTTATGATCCTTTTTGTCCCAGATTTTTTCTCCAATGCAAACCCAAATGCTCCAATGCTTCCCAAACTGGGAAGCACATGCGAAATCTGGGAAAAGTAGTTTGGAGATTAGTCCTCATAGGGTTTTCTCCTAATCTCCTTTTTTAGGTTTATGTAGTGTCTTGAATTGCAGTGGTTTGTTTTGCTCTCAAGTCCCTGTATTTAAAGCCCTAGTAGCAGGATAAGGCTAAATAGTCCTGCAAATTATTGTATTTGTTGTGGCATAATAGAGTGTGAACTATTAAGATATTTGTCTTTTCCATAAAGTAATGTGAAGGAATACACCAAAGAAGCATAACACCATACACATTTCTGAATAGTTAGTGCTTTTCTGGAAGGATGGAAGATTTACAATTGATTTGTTTCTCCTCCTTTAAAAAATATTTAAGACTGACTCATCACTTTTTTTTTTTCTTATTTATCGTCTGGATCAATAAGATAGTTTCATATTATAGTTGCAAAAGATACCATCTTCAAGTTTTATGAAGCTGTTATCCAGAGATATTTTGATACGTCTTTGTACTCAACACTCCAACTGCCCAAACTCAACACAGCCAAAACAATATCCTTTTTTTTGTTGTTGTTGGTTGGTTTTCAACCACATTTTTCCTGTTGAGAAGGTGTCCCCAGTTTAGTGCTTGTTTAGGCCTTAGTTTTATTATTGCCTTTGACTCAGTTAGGTTTTCAAGGATTCTTTAAAAACACATACTAATGATTCTTTCTTGCTACCTAAGGTCCTTACAAAATTTATTTCATTATCCCACAGCTAGTTGTTATCCCTGCAGCTTCTCTCTCCCGCCTCTTCCACTGTCAGCTTCCCATGGCCACAGTTTCTGTCACTGCAGCTCTGGCACTCACTTCCTTGCACAGTAAGCTGAATAAACTCACTGAGGCAGCAGAAAACCAATCCAAGGGGGAAAAAAAGTGTTTTGCTGGTTTTATGAGCTGAATCACTTCACCAAGGATGAGAGCACAAGAACTTGGAAAAAAAAGGTATAAATGGGAAAAAAGAAGTCCATGAAGATAGCGGGAAGAGATAACCCATTTCAATAAGAACAAGCTCTTAATTCAACTACATCTTCTAACTCAGCCATCCCTGAGGATATACATGTAATTCACCTGCTAGGCAGTATCCCTTCCTTTTGCACTTGAACTAGTACATGAACCAGTAACTGCAGTTTGTGAGTCTGATGCATCTGGCATCAGATGTATATGGCACCTCAGTGCTGGGTTCTGTCCTTGGTTCATAACAACCCCATGTGGCTCCACAGGCTTGGGGAAGAGTGGCTGGAAAACTGCTGGAAGAAAAGGACCTGAGGGTGCTGGTTGACAGCAGCTGAACATGAGCCAGTGTGTGCCCAGATGGCCAAGCAGGACCATGGCATCCTGGCTTGTATCAGCAATAGTGTGGCCAGCAGGACCAGGGCAGTGATCAGCCCTGGTCAGGCTGCATCTTGAGTTCTGTGTTCAGTTTTGGGCCCTTCACTGCAAGAATGACATTGAGGTGCTGGAGAGTGTCCAGAGAAGGGCAAGAGAGCTGGGGAAGGGTCTGGAGCACAGGTCTCATGAGGAGCATCTGAGACAGTTGTGATTGTTCAGCCTGGAGGAAAGGAGTCTGAGGGGAGACCTTATCACTCTCTACAACTACATGAAAGAAGGTTGTATCCAGGTGGGGGTCATTCTCTTCTCCCCAATAACAAGTGATAGTATGAGAAAAAATGGTGTCAAGTTGCATCAGGGGAGATTTAGATTGGATATTACAAGAAAAGTCTTCACCAAAAGGATTGTGAGGTATTGAAAAAGACTGCTCAGGGAAGTGGGGGACTCACCATTCTCAGAGGTATTTAAAAGACGTGTAGATATGGCACTTTGGAACATGGTTTCGTGGTGAACTTGGCAGTGCTCAGTAACAGTTAGACTCAATGATCTTAAAAGTCTTTTCCAACTTAACAATCCCGTAATTTTTACATCAGCTTTGGGATCTTGTTCTATGACTAAGATTCCTAGCCACTGTTGTGTAAAATCAGCAATACCTTTAGTGAGATTGCAGAATAACAATAAATACACAAAAGTGTTCTCCAATCCTGTGGGGAAATAAAGGAGCACAGCATTCCCAGTTTCACAGCATTTGCAAACATTTTCAGGTACAGTTTCAATTCTTTCTACAGTGGCAAACCTGTCAGGAGAGAAACTTGTTCATAGGACTATGTGAAGATGTTTGTTTTGGGAAGTTATTCCACCAGACTACAGGTTCTAAAATGTTTGACTTCCCTGCTTACTTTGGGGTCTGAATACTTAAATAATGGGTTGGCAGTTGGGTATGAGCATCCAGCACTAAGTAATGAAAGGGAAATCAGTATTACTCTCTTCATTTGGCAAGTTGATTACAAAAGGTGCAACAATAGTACCCAAATTCACAATACAATACAATGTACAAAACTTATCATGCAAAATTTCTCCTCTTTGTGCTTTACCATAGTGAATTTAAAATACACAATGTCTCTCAAGCACAAAGCAATCAATTGGTATTACAGACCAGCCTTTTTATTTCTAGTTCCCATAGTTCCCATATGTTCCTCAACAGAGTTCCCATTTTGCTAGATTAAGGTCATGGGCTGACATCCTATTTTGATTTATCTGTGTTAATGAAAGACATAGGACTAGTGAAAGGCAGGCCCTGCATCCTGAGAGTTCCTAAGCTTTCAGCTGACAACCTCCTTTTATTGTAGGCTGCCCTGCTGTAGTAGCAAGCGTTCACACAGCACTCTCCGCTGCTGTTCTCTGAGGGACAGGACCTTAAGTCCCAGCTTGGTCTCATGAGCTGATCAGTTCCGAAAGAGGGTACCAGAGCTACCAAGGCACCATCTTTTTAAGGTCACACTTTAGTTGCTGGCAGTTTTGAGGCTTTACATGTTTGGTGTTTCAGGAAGCTGATGATGCCCAAGAGTTACCTCAACCTAGTCTATCTCAGGCCACAAAGAGGGAAAAACTCAGCTGAAGGGTGGCATGAGTTGATGGTTCTGCTTTTCCTTCAGTATTTCAGATTTCCAGCCAGGTTTTCTACTTGATGAAATGTCACAAATACAATAAATCAACACACTTGCCTTTCTTCCTCTTTTCCTTCATGCTGCTACCACTTTTGGGCAATGTCTTCTCTTCATTCCCAGCCCAATATTAGTAAAAGAATAAGCAAAACAGCATGTGCATTAGGAGGCTAAGGACTTTAGATTGTCCTGGAGCGTTAGCATTGGGAAGCATAAAGCAAAAGGACAAGAAGTGTCGCTCCTCAGGGACCCTCAC